TTTTGGCAAATCAAAAGAAAACCTCATAATATGTAAGACAAGGACAACCCCATGATAATAATCACTAAGAATCTTTCAGGACAAGTGTGGTGGCTCATGTTCATGATCCCAGCATGTTGGGAAAAGGAGATGACAGTATTTCTTCAGCATATAATTTCCAAACCAACTGCAGAAACTTGGTGAACCCTCATTTAAACAATAAATAAAAAAAAAAATTGGTGAGGCATGGTGGTGCATATTTCTGGTTCCAGCTACTTGGAAGGCAGAAGTGGTAGGTTCGTGACTAGGTTGATGAGGCAGTGGCCATGAGTGTGCCAATGCTTTACAGTCAGGGGAAATAGTGAGACTCCTACTAAAAAAAAAATAAAAGGCAGACTCTGTAACTCAAGCTGCAATCCCAGCAGTTTGGGAGGCCAAGGCAAGAGGATTGCGTGAACTTGTGGGTTAGAGGCAAGCCCAGGCAATTTGGCAAGACCTCCTCTCTACAATAAATAACAAATTAGCCAGGTCTGGTAGCACATGTCTGTAGTTCACATAACACAGGAGGTGGCCAAAAAATTTTTGATTAATACATTATGTGAGCTGAGCTTGGTGGCTCAGCCTGTAATCTCACACTTCGGGAGGCTGAGGTCAGTGGATTGCCTAAGCCCGTGGGTTCAAGACCCACCTGGGCAACTTGGCGAGACCTCATCTCTACAATAAATCAAAAAATCAGCTGGGCATGGTAGCGCATACCTGTAATTCCGACTACTTGGAAGGCTGAGGTGGAAGGATTGCCGGAGCCCAGCAGGTCGAGGCTGCGGAGGCCAGGAGCGGCCACTGCACTCCATTCTGGGTGACAGAGTGAGACTCCAATTCAAAAAATAAAATAAAAGTAATAGAAAAAAGAGCCAGGCTCAGGGGCTCAGTCTGTAATCCCGCACCTTTGGTAGGCTGAGGTGAGTGGATTGCCTAAGCCCACGGGTTCGAGACCTGCCTGGGCAGGCGAGACCTCATCGCTACAATAAATCAAAAAATTAGCTGGGTGTGGTAGTGCGCGCCTGTAGTTCCAGCTGCTTGGAAGGCTGAGGTGGAAGGATCGCCAGAGCCCAGCAGGTCAAGGCTGCAGAGGCCAGGAGCAGCCACTGCACTCCAGTCTGGGTGACAGAGTGAGACTCTAACTTTAAAAAAAAAGTAAAAATTAGTAGAAACATTGTGTCAGCATGTTGCAACATTATGTCATGATCAAGCTTCCTTTATGTCAGTGATACTTAGGAGATTCAGTAGTTGGGAATCCATCAATACAATTAGGCACATTAATAAAATCGATGAACTGGGCTCAGTGGCTCAGCCTGTAATCCCGAGCCTTTAGGAGCCTGAGGTGAGTGGATTGCCTGAGCCCGTGGGTTCGAGATCCGCCTGGGCAGATGAGACCTCATCTCTACAATAAATCAAAAAATCAGCTGGCCGTTGTAGCGCTCGCCTGTAGTTCCAGCTACTTGGAAGGCTGAGGCGGAAGGATTGCTGGAGCCCAACAGATTGAGTCGGCAGTGGCCGGGAGCATGCCACTGCCCTCCAGCCTGGGCAACAGAGTGAGAGTCCAATTCAAAAAAAAAAATGAGAAAGACATATAATCTTGTTTATAGATTAAAAAGATATTGTGAAATTTACAAAAAATTTTACATTTAAAGATCAAATTATAAAAACGTGTAAAATATTTCTGAAACATGAAAAACAGTAGAAGTAAAAATAAATGATTTGGAAGAAAGATTAAATGGTATAATTAACCAATAATCCTCTAATCAGTTTATCAATTGAGTTTTGTACTGATATACAAACAGCTGTTTGTGTTGTAAAGAAAACAAATATTTTTACAAATATTTAAATTGGAAATCCCTAAAAAGTTTGAAAGATGTTATCACCCATAATAAGGACTTGAAAAAACAATGTGATAGTGACTTTAAAAAAAGAGTGAAAGTGGAATACTGCTGGGGGAGTGTGGGGCATACCTCATCAGCAAGCATCCCTGCATAATGGACATTTGTATACATAACCCTGAATTGTACCCACATCTTCAAAATAAATAAAGACAGAAAATCCAAGGGAATACAGAGTTTGTTTTTTTCCAGTTGGGAGTCCTACTCTGTCACCCAGACTGGAGTGCGGTGGCATGCTTCCAGCACTGCAGCCTCAACCTGCTGAGCTCCAGTGATCCTTCCACCTCAGTCTTCCAAGTAGCTGGAACTATAGGTGCATGCTACCACACCTGGCTAATTTTTTGATTTATTGTTGAGATGAGGTCTCGCAAACCTGCCCAGGCGGGTCTTGAAGCCTCGGGCTGAGGCAGTCCACTCACCTCAGCCTCCCAAAGTGCAGAATTACAGGCAGAGCCACCAAGCCCAGCAGAATACACACTTTTAAAGTAGAGTAAGATACATATGAAGGCCAGGCATGGTGGTTCCTGCCCATAATAACAAAACTTTGGGAGAAAGAGGTGAGAGGATTAATTGCCTGAGCCCATAGGCTTGAGAACAGACTGGACAACTTCAGAAAACCTCATCTCTACAATAAACCAAAAAGTTAGCTGAGCATGGTGGTGTGTGCTGATAGTTCCAGCTACTTGAAAGGTTGAGGTGGATGGATCACCTGAGCTCAGCAGGTCGAGGCTATGGGGGATGGAGGATGTTACTGCACTCTAGCTTGGGTGGCAGAGTGAGACTCCAACTTTAAAAATAAGAAAACAGGCTGGGCTCGGTGGTTCAGCCTGTAATCCCAGCGCTTTGGGGGGGCAGAGGTGAGTGGGTTACCTGAGTCTGCAGATTTGAGACCCACCTGGGCAAGTTGGCGAGACCTCACCTCTACAATAAAAATCAAAAATTAGCTGTGCATGGGAGAGTGTGCCTGTAGTTCCAACTACTTAGAAGGCTGAGGCGGAAGGGTCGCCGGAGCCCAGCAGGTTGAGGCTGCGGTGGCTAGGAATGGCCACTGCACTCCAGTCTGGGTGACAGAGTGAGACTCCAATTCAAAATAAATAAATAAATAAATAAAAATAAAATAAGAAAACAGATGAGTATCAGTCAACGTTGGCACGCTATAAAATCATGACATTCTAGTAGGAAAAAGAGACACAGCCCCTGACCTGGAACACATTTACCTTATAACGAGTCATTTTTGCCACCACTTCCTCCAGCACTTCTATTCAGATGAGATTATCTGGACAAGTCACATCTACTTGTTGAAGATATGATTTTATTTTTAAAAAATTAAATTCAATGTATTTTATGAGTCTGAGTATCACTCCATAACCCAGGCAGGGGTGAAGTGTCTCCACAGAGCTTATCACCATCTTGACCTCCTGAGTTCTACAGATTATTCCTTCTCAGGCTCCCAAGAATCTGAAACTATAGGCATGTGCGACCGCTCTTGGCAAAATTGTTTCAGTTTTATAGCTACATAGATGTGCTATGTTGTCCAGGTTAGCCTCAAATTTCTGGACTCAAGCAATTCTCTCTCCTCTCCCTGCCTCACCACTGACATGGAAAAAAACCCCAAAAAGTACACAAAACCCAAGAGGGGTCTTGGCCGCTCATATTCATGGTATTAATGGTCCTCTAAATAAAGTCATTGCCCCTGTTCCAACTCCTTGTCTTGCCTTTGGCTGTCTCACCAGGCAAAACCAAGTATGGACCTGGTGACAAACTGACCCTTGAAAGGTCAGACCAAGAGTGGGAAGCCACTTTTCATCTTGTTCTGAAACTCTGACACAATGATGAGAAAGTAGAAGCTATGCTTTTGGCAAAATACACATTTTAGGTAAAATTAACTTTATCGACTTTGTCTTTTCAGAAACAGACTTCCTGGTATCTGAAGTATCTCATAGTGACAATCAAGCTTCCTAGAGTAAAGGGAATTTACAAGACCTAAGACATCATGCATGGGGCAAGGACTGTAAAAGCATAAAACTTGTAATTACAAAAGTTATAACCACTCAGAGGGGGATTCGATCTTCCAGTAAATTGGACACTATCTACAGGGAAGCCAAGGATCCCCCACAGCTACTCACTGGGAATGCCTAGGAGATAAGGGGAGGTGCACCCTCCACTACCTCTAAGGAATGTCGTTTGGGAAGGTGCAGGGGAATTAGAATCCTTGCCGGACCCTTCTCTAGGGGCAATGATAATATGGACAGACCTTAATGGGTCTATGTCAGAGGATCTCCAAGACATCCACATGTAGTCGACAAGGAAGTCACAGCAGTCACGTACAACATCTCCAAGAAAAGGATATAAGCCAGGACTCTGGGTGGTGAACTCTTCTTAAATAAGTCTTTTCTTCTCTCATCTCTATGTGTTGCAATTCTTTGCAATTTACTCGGATCTCTGGGTTCCCAGTGCGCACCTCTGGCTTGCCAGCCCCAAGGGGCTGCGCCCCTTGGTCCATTCATTTTCCCTCACCCTGTCCAGTATTCTAGCAACCCTGATGACTTGGCCTAGGGATATCGACCTGAATATTCCAGATCACGCGACTGTGGGGCTGTCCCCCACCGGCACCTGACCGTAGCGGACTTCACCCTGCCTCTTCTACAAGCCTTTACACCCAAGACCTCGGGAGACCACAGACTATAAGCCCTGACTGGAACTTAGGGATTCACGATCCGCTGTTGGCCCAAGGGAACCCCTTAACACTGTGCTGGAGCATCCGTTTACCTTATAAGAAGAGAGACGGATGGGGCCAGGACCACAACACCTTCCCCCAGGGGTCCCCACACGGGTCAGACCTCCCACGACACTCCTGGGTCTCACACATACATACTGGAGAAGCCTCCAGTAGAGCGAGGTCGCCATGGGGACAAGACGCTGGGGACCGAACCAGACCCACCCTGTGAAGAGGGGACCGGGGCTGAGCCACCGGCGGGCACAGGTTCAGTATCAGAAGTGAGGGGAAGGCCGGTCGGCCACAGCCGGGTCATCTGTATCCGTGTCCATCCTGCCTCTCGCTCTCGCACCCACACCCATACTCACCATCTCCCGGCTTCTGGGTGTCCCAGCGTCTTCCTTACTGAGTCCCCGGACCTGCATTTCACAGGGCGAAAAAGGAAGAAGCAAAGAAATGTGACTGTTTCCGAGATGATTGGGCACTTCCGCAGGCCCAGAAAACAAAGGCCGCGTCAGAACCCGGAAGCCACCAACTCGATTTAATCTCCTTTCTGATTGGGTAACTTCCGAACTGGCATCCACTGATTGGATAAGGTAACAGGTCACCACCCTTCTGATCTTGAATGACAGCAGATGTGATGCAACAGGGATGGAGTAGGCAAGAAAAAAGAAAAGCATGTCTTTTTCTTGTAGCATTTTGAGGTTGCGCTGCCTCCCTGCACCGGAAGTTGGGGGGAGGAGCAGGATGTGTGGTGCATCGCAGAGCGTGCTGGGAACTGTAGTACAAGAATGAGGCCTGGTGGCTTGATCGCTGAGCTGCAGGACTCCGTCCTAGTCTGTGGAGGCAGCAAAACACTTCAATGTACCCTGTGAGTAGTTTAAAGGGGAGCCACATTTTTTGACCTGCTGGGGAAATCTACATCCACCAGTGACATGTTGGACAAACTGGCCAGTGCCACACCCACGTAACAAAGAAACAAGCCCCCTGAAAGAAGAGTAAAAAGTAAAAAGGAATAAATATATGAATAAATAAATGAATAAAAAAAAAAAAAAAAAAAGAAATAAGCTCCTCCATGCCCCTGAATAAAAGGAGAGAGTTTGGTAAATCCTTCAGGTCTTCTCCCACTGTGGGAGGTTTTCTGTCCTCAATAATCCTGCTTTAAAAAAAAAAAAGGGAAGGCTGAGGCGGAAGGATTGCCGGAGCCCAGCAGGTCGAGGCTGCGGTGGCTGGGAGTGGCCACTGCACTCCAGTCTGGGTGACAGAGTGAGACTCCAACTCAAAAAAAAAAAAAAGAGGGAGAGTGTAAGACAAAAGAGAATACACAAATGCGAGAAGTCCACGATCTCTGAGGCTCTCTTTGCATATCAGAATATTAAAGACTCTAGGCCAGGTTTGGTGTAGTCCCAGCACTTTTGGAAGCTGAGGGGAGTGGACTGCCCGAGCTAGGGGTCTCAAAACCAGCCAGGGCAACTTGGCAGCACCTCGTCTCTACAATAAATCAAAAAACTTAGCCAAGTGTAGTAGTGCACGACTGTAGTTCCGGCTACTTGGAAGGCTGCGGCTAAAGGACCGCCTGAGACCAAGAGGTCGAGGCTACAGTGACCAGCAGTATGCCACTGTACTCCAGCCTGTGGGACAGAGTGAGACTTCAACTCAAAAAAAAAAATTAAAGACTCATGTTATGCACTCAATGACCCTGGAGCACATGAGATTCTAAAACAGGCTCCCAATGACATATTCTCTAGAACCCCCAAAGGACAATGTTTTTGATCTGGTGATGCCATTACTGAGCCAGGTCTAACAAATTATATTCATCCATTAGGAGAAATCTGGATGTTCACCATTTTAAGAACTCATCTCTATCAGTTTGAAGAGAACTGGACATTCTCTGTTGTACAAAGACAGCACTGTGCTTGTCCACAGAGCAGGCTGCTGAAGGGGTTGCTGAGAATTCATTTGATAGAAGGATTTCTTTTTCTCCTGAAAGCAAAATTAGATAAGAAAAGGAACTGGGTGATTTTCAGTACCTGCAGATTCAACAAAAAATGGAATATCCTGCCAGAATCCATGGGTTCGAGACCAGCCCAGGCAACTTGGCGAGACATCACCTCTACAAGAAAAATTTAAAACAATACCCAGGCATCGTAGCACTCATCTGTAGTTCTGGCTACTTGGAAGGCTGAAGCAGAAGGATCAATGGAGCCCAGCAGTTTGATGCTGGGATGGCCCTGAGCTGCACTGTAGTCATGGTAACTGAATGAGACTACAACTAAAAAAAAAAAAAAAAGAGAATCCT